ATCCCAACCCCGCTTTCAGGTCTCCCGGCAGGGTTTTAGCCGTTTTTTTTTAAATTTGTTAATTTATAACCCGACAGAAACTTCACAGGGGGAAAACCCACGTATGACAAGAAAACGCTACCCTTGTTGCTATCCATGGGAGACCAAAAAACGCCTCTGAACACAGGGCCTTAGCGAACTAACCCAGTCAGAGTCAAACATGGAGTCCTTTGCCACCGGTGTCATTTTGTACTTGCGACAGTATTCATTTCATGGGCTGGACATTGACTGGCAGTTTCCAACAACAAGTGTGATGAAGTGGGGCTTGGTGAAGCTTCTGGAGGTAGGTACGAGTATGTCAGCACAGTGTTTGCGTACTTATTCCCTCACTTTTACATGTGTTTTCATCTGACCACTCAGTTGTATATTGTACAGTGTTTGAATATGTTTGGAGAACAAGCATTATTCGTTCACAGCTTCACGTAAATAAATCATGGACAATATCTTCATTATTGCAATTTCTTTTCTTTTCCCAAAGGAGATGCCGCGAAATATCCACAAAAAAGAAAAAAAATGGAAAAAAAAAGGGCGTGGGGGGGGGGTGGAGTGAAGGCAGGGTCTGTAGGCTCAAAATAATCCTTGCCTTATTGGGTAATAATAATATTAAGGATGATAATGATGGTTCTATGTGCTGAAGAACAAAAAAAAAAAAAAATCAATAAAAATGATTATTTGCGTTAATATACAATGTAAAAGTCGTCCTCTGTGGCTTAGGCGTTGCGAACGATCTTCATAACGCTGGGGTTAAGGGATCGATCCAATCTACAAGCGAGTTAGGAGAAGACCGACTTGCGTTGGTTTTTACAGTGGTATTGCGATCGGATCGTACAGCAGCAATCGCAAAATACTGAACGTGAATTCACATAAGAAAACCACAACAACTGAAAATTACAGGTGTTGTTCTGTAATTTCCTATAAAAGACGCACAGTGTAGCAGTGCACAAACTAATACTCTAAAACAGTTAGTCTACAACTGTTTCACAAAGTTGTTGGTGTATTGCAAGTCCTACACTGTTTCTACGGCTTGGTGTCCATCGGAATGCCGGCTGACGAGAGCTGGATTATGTCTGCAGCAAGTAGAAAGCATGTCTGCAAAACGCAGAGAGTAGGTCTGTAACACTTAGAGAGTATGTCTGCAACACGTAGAGAGCAGGTCTGCAACACTTAGAGAGTATGTCTGCAACACGTAGAGAGTATGTCTGCAACACGAATCCTTTAAATTCATTTGGTTGGATAGATGAAAGCTAAGGCCATTCTGAAAATCAAGTTTGCCATTTCTTTCTTTCTTTACTACACCACACTACACTGTCGGGACCTGGGGTTGCTTCATATTCGCCGGTAACCCCAATACAGCTGTGACGTTCAACGCGGGTTCTAGGGTTCGGTCCTGGGCGATTCTCACTCGAATAGTGACTTTTAGGGTCATCGGATGTTGATCGCTTAGAATGCATTTCTTATTGGGTTCATCTCTACCCATTATTCCTTTTTGTTTGTCAGAAAGCATCAACAAATCATAACTTCCTTCTTCTTCTGATAAATAAAAATATAGTTGTGTCCTTCTTCATATATTACCATACTGGTTTCTTTCATTCTTTCTTTCTTTCTTTCTTTCTTTCTTTCTTTCTTTCTTTCTTTCTTTCTTTCTTTCTTTCTTTCTTTCTTTCTTTCTTTCTTTCTTTCTTTTTCTTTCTTTCTTTCTTTCTTTCTTTTTCTTTCTTTTCTTTCTTTCTTTCTTTCTTTCTTTCTTTCTTTCTTTCTTTCTTCTTTCTTTCTTTTCCTTTCTTTCTTTCTTTCTTTCTTTTTTTCTTTCTTTCTTTCTTTCTTTCTTTCTTCTTTCTTTTCTTTCTTTCTTTCTTTCTTTCTTCTTTCTTTCTTTCTTTCTTTCTTTCTTTCTTTCTTTCTTTCTTTCTTTCTTTCTTTTTTCTTTCTTTCTTCCTTTCCGTGAGTTAACCTGTATTTTTTCTCTCTTTCAAATGTATTTAATTTTTTGGTAGGTTTGTCCTTTCTCTGTGGTTTGGCAGGTCACAGGTCGAGCCAGCCTCAAATGGGTACCAGGAAGGGCTGTCCTGGAAAATTAAAGACGGCCGGCGTAATGCTGACCACATTACCCACCGAGTGCCGATTGGTCTGTAAAAATATTGTTGCTCTTCCCATCTGCCCGATGCGCCTAGGGGCGTGTAAAGGGATCTTTATTCTACTTACTTTACTGTCCTTTCTCTAGGTTTATTCTTTTTGACAATTCCTCAGAGACAGGTTAGAATGGCTGACCAGCATAATGCCTGTCAGATGTTTCTCATCTTGTATTGAGTAAACTCAGCCGCATACAAAACCCACCTTGCTCTTCCACAGATCTTAAGACGCAAATTTAATGACTGGTTGTTGCCCCCAAGATATCTCCTGACCCTGAAATGTCCGGGTGTGTACAACCCGGTTGGTTACGACGTGCCAGCTATTTCCAGGTCAGTATAATCTCTACTAGCGGCGTCTGTGGCTAAGGCTTTGCGAGTCCGACTCGTAAGCCAGCATACCGCGATCGAAACCCACTGCAGACTGCGTGGATTTTTGTCGTGGTATGGAACGTCGTAGGTCGACCCAGCCTAAAATGGGTACCAGGATGGGCTGTCCTGGGAAAGTAAAGACAGCCGGCGTAATGCTGACCACATTACCCACAGAGTGCTGATGGTCTGTAAAAATATGGGACGCTCTGCCCATATGCCCGATGCGCCGAAAGGCGTGAAAAGGGAACTTTACTTTACTTATAATCTCTACTTGGGGAGCTGTCGTGGTGTAGCAGCTTTATGCTCATCTGCGGATTCTAGAGTCGTGGGTTCGGGTTCTGATGAAGCCTAACGTTTTTATTTCAAAGATGACCTTGGCTAACAGCCTTGATAGGTACCAGGTAAAGCCAAGGAAAGTGAAAGCGACCAGAGTGATCTTGACTACATCACCAACCGCAGCAGATTGGTTTGAAAAGTAAAGGTGTAACCCTATATGCCCAATATTCATAAAGGCGTGGAAAAGGGTCCTTTTCTTCACATGTTCTATTTTGTGTGTGTGTGTGCATGTTACTTACATGTTAGTGCATGGATTGTGAGTATTTCCGGTGATTTTACCCAGTCTCTGTTTTATGGCTTCGACGGTTCCACCTCTGTTTATTTATGTGAACAAACCATTACAGTCTGCTGTGCTCGTAAACTATTGCTGTCTTTGTTATTCGACCTATGCTTTGGTAATATTAATTTTTGTAGACTATGGTGCCATTTAAGTGGTTTGAGATTAATTGTGTCTGTATTCCCTAGTTGTGGATTTCAAGCTGTACGATAGACATGCCAACGAACACTTTTGGGTTGGGGTGGTGGTGGGGGTGTGGGTGGGGGTGTGTGTGTGGGGGGGGGGGGGGAATTCGTGCCTAGTTGGTCGTGTTCTTAGTACGCATGACTCTATAGCAAGGCGCACATGCCATTTGGAGGTGACAGTTTTAATTACCAGCACGGTTAAAATAGCATTCGAATTTTTTGTTGTCTAGTGTGTCCTTTTGTCTTTCTATGAGTGCAGACCAATACATTGTCTCTTAGTTAATTTTATGTCTAATATTTCTACGGCTTTAGAGGTTTTTCACCCCTCTGTTTATTTCTGTAAATTGGAAAGTTTTAGCCGAAATGATTGTTATATCAATTTACGTTGAACGTTGCAGAATCACTACATACATAGAAGGAAAGTTAATCGCATTTTAACTCAAATTTGTAGCTTGCAAATATTTATTCCCATTGAACAGAATAGATCCACGAAAGATGAAACACTGACGATTTCTGGACGACAGATATATCGTCAGTTATAGGACAAAGGGGAATGCATAATATTGGCACAATATGGGGAGAAGCTAACGGAAAATCACTGGGTACTGAGATGGGAAACAAATGGATTGAGGAAGGGAGGACGTCAGAGAGAACTTTAACACAGAGGTTGATGGGATAGACCTAAGTTGCTTGACGGGATACATTATGATTTATGCATGCTCCGTGTATCGCTTGGGGAAATGTCGAATGATCTGTTGCCACGGGAATGGGAGTGCTTTATGGATTAACTTTCTGTCAAACTTTTAATTCTGTGTACATTCTGCATCCAACAATTATGATCTGCCTTTCTAGCGCTAGACTTTTCGTTCTGACACAGCTGAAAGCTGCCTTATGCAGTTACTGTGTTAGCCGTGCCGAAACTAGAGAATATGTTATTTAGTTCACATAGGAGACTCATAGGCACTTTGTGTGGTTTTCTTTGATACAGGAATGGAGCAAACATGACGTGACTCCTGCAGTGTCATTTTGGATCTATAATTATCTGATTATTTGCAATGGTCATCTATGAAACAGCTGTGACTGCCTTATTTTGCAGATATGTGGATTATGTCATTCTGGCCGCCTACAATCTCCCAACACCGAATTCTGCCCAAGCCTGGTTTGGTAGCCCGTTGTACTCCAGACACATCAGCGTGGTAAGTCAGATAGTTTTGGTAAAACGGTGTCTAACATTCTGTACTACACACACATCGGTGTGGCAGGTCAGACAGTCAAGGCAAAGACTATGTCCAACATTCAGCTCTCCACACACGTTAGCTTGGTATGTCAGACAGTAAAGGTTGTAATGGGGGATATTTTCACCCAGTTTAGGATGGTTGAGGGGAAGGCCCAAAGCTGACCTAAAACACCGAGATAGTCCAGATACTTGGATTAAACGAGAATCTGGAGATAAGTGACTAACCACTGGTTATCACGGGGACCACGATGATGCGACCCAAGGTCGCCACGTGAAAAGTAAAGGACCACCACGTGTTGTCACGTGAAACGAACCCGTGGTATAAGTCAGACTTGACTCTGGTCAAGTTTAGTTTGTGTCGACCTGTTGGAGTGAGAGGACGTGCGACTGAAAGTGAGAATGTCAACGTGAGAGTGCTTGTGGAGAAAGGAGACCCTGCCGACGAAGTGTGAAGCCGAGATCGACCATGCCAGTGTGTGAGATGGCCAGAACCTCAACGTGAATCCATGGGAGCCGACTTTGGTCAGTGAATGCTTGAAGAAGACTGCTCGTTGAAGGCTGTGTGAGTTTGGGTACGAGAGCTGTTCACTAGGACACCGACCTAGTTTGTAAGTGTAAATACGTCAATAAATTCATGTCTCGTAAGCTCATATCGGTGTCGGCTTGTGCCAGTTGTGTAACGTGGAGCGTGTGAGAAGAACTTCCACCACACACGCATGAACACTGCCTAGACAACGAGAAGAAACACACACAATTTATTACAAAGGTAAACACAGTGTCCAACATTCGGCTTTTCACGCACATCAATCTGGTTAGTAAGACAGTGTCCAACATTCTGCACTCCACACACATCGACTCGGCAAGTCAGTCAAGACAAAGACAGTCTCCAAAGTACTGCTCAGATATTGACTGATACGGCATCAAGTAATCAGGCCTGAAGGTGTTCTATAGGAAAACCACAGTTTTTCGGTATGTTTATTACAGTAGAACCTAGCTAGCACCTCTCATAACGAGCAATTTGCACAAGAAGCAAAACAAATGGTTAAAAAAAAAATTGGCTCGCTTAACGAGCAACTTTTCGCATAACGAGTGGCGAGGAGAAGGGAAGTCCAGAATTGTACGCATGCTACATCAGTCTGTGTTTAGCACTGGTTCCAGTAGCATCGTAGTGTCGCTTGTGATCACACATTTTCTCAAACTTGTGTTATATTGTGATACATATACATGAATCCTCCAGGCCTACAAGATGACCTCTCTGAAGAATTAAGTTCATCAAGATCCAGTTTCTGCCTCCCAACACCACTCCGTTACTCCAGCCCATGGACCAGCAAGTTATTTCTAACTTTAAGAAGCTCTACACTAAAGCACTCTTCGGGCATTGTTTTCAGGTGCCTGAAGGGACCAACCTCACTCTCAAAGAGTTTTGGAAACATCACTTCCACATCGTTGCCTGCCTCAAGATCATCGACAAGGCGGGGGAGGGGGTTACCAAGAAAACTCTAACTTCTGCTTGGAAGAAGCTTTGGCCGGAGAGCGTTGTCGATTTTTGACTTTGATGGGTTCGAGTCAAGACCTGGGAAACCTGTAGTCAACGAGATTGTGTCTTTGGCCACTATCATGCGTTTGGATCTGGATAACAGTAATATCGAAGAGCTTGTGAAAGAGCACAACCAAGAGCTGACCATCGAAGAGCTTATGGAGTTGCATTGTGTTTCACAGCAAGAAGTTTTGAGAGAAAGTTTGTCAGAGGAGGAGGATGGGGTAACAGAAAAGCAACAATCTTCTGATGAAATAAGTGAAATGCTGAAGGCATGTCAAACTGTTGTATCTTACATTGAGAAACATCATCCTAATAAGAAAGTAGCTATGCGCGTTGCAAATTTATTTAATGATAATGCTGTGTTGCATTTTCACCAAATTTTGAAGCGGCGGTTAAAACAGATGTTTCTGGACATCTTTCTAGTTAAAAAAGAAAAAAAAAAAAAGTTAGCTATGCATCGTAATTATTTTGACTTTTTTTTTTCTTCAAATCGATTTCGTTCGCATTCCAGGTGGGTTAGTTCTGCGTTTGAAGAAAAGATGAAGATGATTCACTCTCCTTAACCATATGGATATAATTTTCTTTGAGTAAACGTTATAAATAGCATTGTGTGATTATTATTTTTTTTCGACATGGAACGCAATATCGTATTTTACATCAATTTATATGAGAAAAATTGTTTCGCGTTACGAATGTTTCGCCTCAGGAGTATGATTCTGGAACGAATTATGCTCGTTAAGCAAAATTCCGCAGTATTTTCGTAATTTGCTATTGCTAACGTGCCAGTGTTTTCTGCATAGACTATCTTTAATCTTTTTTTAAATTTATAATAAATGTCCCCTTATATATATATATATATATATATATATATATATATATATATATATATATATATATATATATATATTCTGAGAATCTATCTATAGCATTTCAGCTCAAAAGCCCCTAATCTCTTTCTTAAGGACTGAGAGATAGTCCACGACTCACATCCGTATGTAGCCACAGGAAAGATGCATGCTCTCAAAATTCAAATTTTGATCTCCTTGCTGGTACTTAACCATAGACTTTTAAGACTGTTCAATCTTATGTGTATATATATATATATATATATAGCTTTTACATTAACTAACCAAGGCGTAGAAGTTGTTTAGAAATCATTTGACAAGCACAGCGATGCGTCATGATTATTTTGATAGCCTGTCCCGTACACAATGAACACATTTGCTCGTCCAAGTCACAGGAGACTGATGGAGTTGACAACCTGAAATCTAAACAAATAGGAAAAGCGGGCAAATTTAATGTTTTGAAAAAGTTTCTGTTACTCAGTTAACTGTTAGCTATTTGAATGTTTGCTTGCTTTCAATCGGTGTCTAGTTTATGTATTCGTTCATACACAGCAAAAAAGGCAACATAAAAACGAAATGTTTGTTAACATTAAAAAGAGAAAAAAATAATAAATAAAAAAATGTGTGCTTATTACCGGAATGCATGGTAAATTTCTACAGCTTCTACCAAACGGTTAGTGGGTTATACATTTTTAGAGTTTGGGAACATTTTCTGGATCGTACTATTTGTCACACTTTACATAATAGACTTGATCACAGTTAAGGAGTAAACACTTAAGAACTGTGTTATTCACATGTATTGATAGTTCGGGTTGAAATTGTCACTTTTCACTGCCAGGACTCGTCAGTTAGAGAGTGGCAGCGAGCAGGCTTGCCTGTCAGTAAGATGGTGGTAGGGATATCTCCGGTGGGTCGGTTCTTAAAGCTTCAACAGGAGACAGCCTTCACACCTGGCTCTCCGATCCATAGCGAGACTCTTACGGGGAGTTTGTTCAACATACCCAAGGGCCTGGCGTATCCTGAGGTGAGTGCCCCTTATTAGAAAGTATGCTAACATTTAGGTCAAGAATTAATGAAACAGCCAGAGATTTCTACATAAGTGTACAGCTGTTGAACAATAACATGCTAAAATGATGAAGAAGAAGAGGAGTCGGAGGATGGAGAAGAAGATAAAGACCAAGAAAAAAAGAAGGAGAAGAAGAAGAAGAAGAAGAAGAAGAAGAAGAAGAAGAAGAAGAAGAAGAAGAAGAAGAAGAAGAAGAAGAAGAAGAAGAAGAAGAAGTAGAAGAAGAGGAGTCGAAGGAAAGAGAAGAAGAGGAAGACGAAGAAGAAGTAGGCGAATACAAAAAGAAGGAGGAAAAGAAGAAGAGGAGTCGGAGGAAAGAGAAGAAGAGGAAGGCGAAGAAGAAGTAGGCGAATACAAAAAGAAGGAGAAAAAGAAGAAATAGAAATAATAATAATAATAATAATAATAAGAAGAAGAAGAAGAAGAAGAAGAAGAAGAAGAAGAAGAAGAAGAAGAAGAAGAAGAAGAAGAAGAAGAAGAAGAAGAAGAAGAAGAAGAAGAAGAAGAAGAAGAAGAAGAAGAAGAAGAAGAAGAAGAAGAAGAAGAAGAAGAAGAAGAAGAAGAAGAAGAAGAAGAAGAAGAAGAAGAAGAAGAAGAAGAAGAAGAAGAAGAAGAAGAAGAAGAAGAGGAGTCAGAGGAAAGAGAAGAAGATGAAGACGAAGAAGAAAAAGCCGAATCCAAAGAAGAAGGAGAAAAAGAAGAAATAGAAATAAGAAGAAGAAGAAGAAGAAGAAGAAGAAGAAGAAGAAGAAGAAGAAGAAGAAGAAGAAAAAGAAAAGAAGAAGAAGAAAAAGAGGAAGAAGAAGAAGAAGAAGAAGAAGAAGAAGAAGAAGAAGAAGAAGAAGAAGAAGAAGAAGAAGAAGAAGAAGAAGAAGAAGAAGAAGAAGAAGAAGAAGAAGAAGAAGAAGAAGAAGAAGAAGAAGAAGAAGAAGAAAAAGAAGAAGAGGAGGAGTCGGAGGAAGGAGAAGAAGATGAAGAAGAAGAAGAAGAAAAAGAAGAAGAGGAGGAGTCGGAGGAAGGAGAAGAAGATGAAGACAAAGAAGCAAAAGCAGAAGAAAAAGAAAAAGGAGAAGAAGAAAAAAGAAAGAAGAAGGAGAAGAAGAAGAAGAAGAAGAAGAAGAAGAAGAAGAAGAAGAAGAAGAAGAAGAAGAAGAAGAAGAAGAAGAAGAAGAAGAAGAAGAAGAAGAAGAAGAAGAAGAAGAAGAAGAAGAAGAAGAAGAAGAAGAAGAAGAAGAAGAAGAAGAAGAAGAAGAAGAAGAAGAAGAAGAAGAAGAAGAAGAAGAAGAAGAAGAAGAAGAAGAAGAAGAAGAAGAAGAAGAAGAAGAAGAAGAAGAAGAAGAAGAAGAAAAAGAAGAAATAAGATGATGTAGAAGAAGAAGAAGAAGAAGAAGAAGAAGAAGAAGAAAAAAGAAGAAGGAGAAGGAGAAGAAGAAGACCTATGTGTATTAATATGTGAATATGTGTAAATGGCTGTGAGAGTGTTCATGTGAGCATGTCTAGGTGTGTATATATATGTGTGTGTGTGTGTGTGTGTGGGTGTGTGTGTGTGTGTGTGTGTGTGTGTGTGTGTTGTATGCGAACACTGCTCTGAACCTCCATGAGCGAGCTCTCAACAACTTTTTGTCATTACATGGACGAGTGTCAGCTAATGATGCCTCTTCTCTGTCGTCTAAAGATCTGTGAGATGTTCAAGAATGGAACCAAGCACTATGACAACGCTAGCCAGATGCACTACCTGGTTGCTGGCAACACCTGGGTAGGGTACGAGGATACAGAAAGTATAAAGGCAAAGGTGAGTGAGCTTTCAGTTGGCCTACGTTTGTTATGTTAATGTGCGTGACATTATTCCTCTTCCATATATTTTCTGAGCACACGAGACAATTGCTGGGCTTAAGTCGTTCAACTGACGGTAGGTTTTAATGTCATGATTACCTGTTTATTTTCCGTCTCTGTTGAGGCTGTTAGGCGTTGCAAGCAAATCTAACAAACGGTGTCCTGGGTAGTACGCCCTCGTTAACTTGCTGATAATGTTGTTTGTTGTTCAACCCCACTAGGACTGTGCAACAAGCGATCAACACCCGGTGACACATAGTGCCACATTCGGATAAAGATCACCAAGGCACAAGTCCCAGAAATCCTGTTTAACCGTTAGTTTATATTATTTTGATAATCATTTCTATCAAAAGAAAAAGAGAATAATCGAATCAATCAGAAAAAATACCAAAACTGCCACAAGACGATTACCATAATATTGAATGACCAGTGCATGTCATTATTCTTCGCCTTAGCACGGGGCATAATCAACTTCACAGCAATATTATAAAACGTTTGCGATTGACTAGTCAGCCATGTGCACATGTGGATTAGCACCAGAGACAAGAGATTACCTTCTCCAAGACTGTCTTAAATAAAATATATCAAGGAACAACTTCTATCCACGAGAAACATTGGCTGAAACCAAACACACGCAGTAATCTTTCTAGCCTCCGTGGACATGCTCCAGGAAATAGCTACAGGTAGTCTCCCCTCAGAATGGGTAGAAAGCATTCGGAAGTCAAAGGTAACCTCCATCATCTGGACCTACACACCTGGGCACACATGAGTAACTGTAAATGAAAGAGCTGAATAGCTGGAATGTAATGCACCACTGCAAAAAGGAAGAAGCATGGAGGGAGCTGTTAACATCAACTCTGTATGGACTTGTGTGGGGGATAATAGCAAATCTCTCACGCTGATACGATTGAGTGACCGTGGAGTTGGGTTTGCTGGAGCACGTATGTGTCGTCTTCGAGATAAACATAGGATATTCTCTAGCAAAATCCTAATGGGAGCAAGCAGTAGATGTATTTTAGAGTGGCTGCTGCATCCGAGGACTGAGCACAAATGAGGGTGCCTAATGTGAAATAACGCCAAATGTGATAATATAACAAATAACAGCCCAACTGGACATTGATGATGATGATAATGGTGAATTCAATTCACTGATTTAGGACTTTATAGTACACGTAACAAAACGATAGATTGTTCGTCCCCCCCCCCCCTTCCCCTTTGCAAATGTCTTAAGGTGTACTCGCTGCCTGTCCTAGAAGACCGGTGGTTGTAAACATAATGTTTCTTTTCTGTTGTTAACTGATCCTGACTTTGCTCCACATTTTCAGAAACTTGTTATAATTCCTTTGACAAAAAGGGAAACAAAAGATATTTTAAAAAAAAAGCAAGAGCTCGAAGACAACTTATAACAAACCTGGGAAATGCTGTGACCACATGAAAATCTGGAGAGGGGAAAAAAAGAGGGTAGACAATGTGGCAGGATTTCTAACAGCTGTTTGTCATGGCATGAATAGATGTCAGCTGATGCATTCTCTTGGAGATCTCAGATTCTGGAAAGGAACGATTGACGAGTTCAGTCAGCAAGGCACTTGATGACCATGATGATCTTGATGTCGTGGCCAGGTTATATCTTTCAGCAAACGTCGGGAGAATTGGGCTCGTGTCTGACTCGACTTGCGACACCACTTGGTATTTTATTCAGGGCCCCGCGATTGAACTTTAGACTTGAACTAGATGACTTGGTTCCTCTTTTTCTTCGAGGCTGGCAAATGTGAGGTTTAGTGATAAAATAATAATATAAAATAATAAATTAAAATAATAATGTAATAATACAACTTTTCTGCACATTAGATAAAATATAATAAAAATGCATTCAGTATGTAATGGAATCCATTCAGTTTAGTTATTTACATACAAAACTATTGTTAGCTGTTCTTTAAACAGTACAAGAAACTATTTTAATCCATAAGCTTTGTTCCATGCACAGCCTATAAATTCCTTGAAATATGAAGAGACTTGACTCCAGACTCGATGTGAAAGCATTCATGATTACTTGAGACTTGACTCCAGACTCGTTGTGAAAGCATTCATGATTACTTGAGACTTGACTCAAGACTCGATGTGAAAGCATTCATGATTACTTGAGACTTGACTCAAGACTCGTTGTGAAAGCATTCATGATTACTTGAGACTTGACTCGAGACTCGATGTGAAAGCATTCATGATTACTTGAGGCTTGACTCAAGACTCGATATGAAAGCATTCATGATTACTTGAGACTTGACTCAAGACTCGATGTGAAAGCATTCATGATTACTTGAGACTTGACTCAAGACTCGATATGAAAGCATTCATGATTACTTGAGGCTTGACTCAAGACTCGATGTGAAAGCATTCATGATTACTTGAGACTTGACTCAAGACTCGATATGAAAGCATTCATGATTACTTGAGACTTGACTCAAGACTCGATGTGAAAGCATTCATGATTACTTGAGGCTTGACTCAAGACTCGATATGAAAGCATTCATGATTACTTGAGACTTGACTCAAGACTCGATGTGAAAGCATTCATGATTACTTGAGACTTGACTCAAGACTCGATGTGAAAGCATTCATGATTACTTGAGACTTGACTCGAGACTCGATGTGAAAGCATTCATGATTACTTGAGACTTGACTCGAGACTTGATGTGAAAGCATTCATGATTACTTGAGACTTGACTCAAGACTCGATATGAAAGCATTCATGATTACTTGAGGCTTGACTCAAGACTCGATCTGAAAGCATTCATGATTACTTGAGACTTGATTTGGACTTGAAAGGTAACGATTTAGTCCCACCTGTGTCTTATATGTAATTTTGATGTAGAATCTTGATATGGCTGGTGATGTGGTTTATTTGTCAGATAACTTGGATGGGCAAACTTGGTGTCCCCGGGGTCATGTTTTCTGCTATTGACCTGGATGATTTCAAGGGAACGGTGAGTTTCTAGAGCAGTGGTCAGATACCTGAGATGTGTATGTTTCAGATGGTCAGTTCGCCGGCCATGGCAGTGATAAGACAGGACAACTAGTCATTTTCACGCATGGTGTAAGAGACGACTAATTGTGGCACAGTCGTGCCTATACATCCCCCAAGAAATAGATGTGCCTAATTCGGCCAAGTTGAATGAATATCGTTCGTAGCTCTCTTCAATCGTATTTAAGAACAAGGCCAGTGATGTAATCAATTACACAAGAGCTGGTTTATTTACAATATTCTCGTCACACACATTTCATACATTCAATAAGCAATAGTATCTGGATACAGGCTATTCATATGACTCTCTACGAGTTCCTTAACCACTGTTCTAGCTAAACTCCAAGTTTAACATATCCTTCTAAGCGAAGTAAAGCACTAGTTTTCTCCTAACCGTCTTTCCAGCGGTTCAGCCCTAACCTGTCCTATTAAGCAGTTCCGTGGCTAACTCACTGATCTAGTTAAACTCTAAGTTTAACATATCCTTCTAAACGAAGTAAAGCACTAGTTTTCTCCTAACCGGTTTCTCTAGCGATCTAGCCCTAACTGTCTTCTCATGGCGGTTCCGGGGCTAACTCACTGTTCTAGTTAAACTCTAAGTTTAACATATCCTTCTAAACGAAGTAAAGCACTAGTTTTCTCCTAACCGGTCTTTCCAGCGGTTCAGCCCTAACCTGTCCTATCAAGCGGTTCCGTGGCTAACTCTCTGTTCTAGTTAAACTCCAAGTTTAACATATCCTTTTAAACGAAGTACAGCACTGGTGTTCTCAACTGGTCTCTCAAGCTGTCCGGTCCTAACTGTCCTCTCAAGCGGTTCCGGGGCTAACTTTATTCTCCCGCTTTCCCGCTCTTTCTGGCGTACCTTCTTAATCACTCCCCTGTCACCTGTCTTTGGTGGTCACGTTTGGATGAACGTATCTCTTCAGCTGGTCACAGCTCACGGGCACTCGTCGAATGTTTCATCCCTCACTGTCAGATGTCATGGCGGTTATCATGAAGATGTTCTGCATAGTTGGCTAGGCCATGGCTTTCTAATCACCCATTTCTGTCATTTCACACAGTGATGGATTAGTACGCTGTGTGGTGGTCTGAAATGTATGCTTTGTTCATTTAACCCCTTTCTGTCTATATTTCATTACATAATCACAGGTTTGCTAAACCAGTCTAACCATTATCTATGCATTTAATGGCGAACACGGTGAAACAACAACAACAACAACAAGAAAATTGAAGCAAAGACAAAAAGAAGAAAATAGAAGAAAAAGCACCAGCAGAAAAAGAAAAAAAAAAAGAATGATGATGATGATGATGACAATAAATATGATATGTTAGCGATAGTTGATGAAATAACCGAATAGGTGTCAACTGTTTACCCTGACCTCTGACATTTGTTTTCCTAGGGGGTCTAGTCCTCGTTTATGTGTGCAGTAATAATACACAGAGCTAACTACAATTTTTTATTATGTGCTAAATGACAAACACATATTATACATCCGACTTGTATACCAGACAAAACTGGAGCTCCCCCCCCCTCCCCCAGCAGGTTTGTGTTACCTTGGGTGGGGTTTGTGTTACCTTGGGTGGAGTTTGTGTTACCTTGGGTGGGGTTTGTGTGTGCAGTGGTTTGAGGCGGTCCCTTCCCCTGTTTTTGTGATTGGGTGGTGCGTGTGTGTGTGTGAAAAAGTGGTTTTAGGGGTGAGTGTTGGGAAAAAAAGGGGTGGGATGGGCTTTAGGGTACCTGTACTCATTATCACATCGAGCCAGGAGTGTCGGGAGTGGCCACCTGATGTCACCCACAGAGGCAGAAATTAGGCAAATATTTCAGGATAACGCTCGCTCGGGTGGTGTGATTATTCATACAGATCGTTCCGTATCCAGAGGCAAACGAAGTGCATGTGGGTTCTTTGCAAAACCTAATCGTCGACGTTTGGTACAGGAGAGCATTGCATGTGATACCACAACAACATCTACTGTGAGAATGCAGGTTGAGGCAGTCACTTCTGCTTTCCCCTGGCCAGAGAACACGACACAAACACACACACATCCTGATTGTATCTGACAGAAAAGATGCTGAGGAAGGTACTGACATGCATGCTTCATGCAAAGTTACATACTTCGCTTCGGACGCCACCAAGGGTCAAAAGTATAGCCTGGATATTTTCTCCAAGGTTTGCTGGTGTTTTGGGAAATGAACACTCGGACTGAATTTATGGCTCTACACAAATTGATGGAATGAATATTGATGCTTGATAAGAGAGCCGGGCTTATGATCTTATAAGAGCACTTCTACTATTTGGAACAGCAAATGAATCATCAAAGTCTGGTGAGAGCGATGCATCTAGGAGTGACGATAGGATCAGGTTGATACTTGACCCTCAGGGGAAAGGCAAGACAAACATGTAACCAGACATTCGTCAGACATGGGGACAAGACACTTTTGGGAATGCCCTGAGTGTTGTGATGTCGGGTCTTAAATCAAATGAATCTGTCTTTCATTGTTTTTTCGTTTTTTCTTTCTTCCTTTATTTATGCTTTAATCCTCCTCCATTTTGTTTTCATTATGGTTTCAAGGTTACTTCCGGTGGTCGTCTTTTATGCTCATTTTCTTCTTCTCATTATTATCATCATTATTGTTTCATTTGTTGTGCAGATGTGTGGACGTGGACATTCTCCGCTACAGAGAATTATCAAATTAGTATCTGAGAATATAACCCTGTCTACAACACCCGTTTCTTCGATATCTACAACAACATCTTTGACATCATCTACGACATCTACATCTTCAACATCTACAACAGCCACACAAACAACAACAGCAACAACCAACAACATGGACGAGGCGACAGATGATACCACCAGCCCAATAATACCTTCTGATGGAGGGACACAGTACAGAAAGGAATCAGAATACTACAAGTACGCAACTATCGTTTTGGGCATCTTGTGTGTGCTATTAATAATCTGCATCCTGTTTCTTCTCTATATCAAGTAGAAAACGAAATAAAATAATAAATTTAGCTCAGTCTCTGTGCATATCTTTTTTTTTCTTTTTCGAAGACATGAATGCATGGTGTCTGTTTACAAAATGGCTGCAATTTTTGCGTCTCTCGACCAAAACTTTAGGGCGTAACCGTCTTAGAGTGTATTAAATTTACACAACTACAGTTTCCTCGACTATAGTGTTGATAATCTTCCCACACTTGGTTTGGGCCACTGGCCCGCCACGATCCCAATTTTCAACACTTTGGCCCGTGCGTAAACTTAGTTGAATAGCCCTGCCTTAGACTAATACAGCTGTATATGGCAAGGGTTAACCTTCTCCGGTTTGTCACTATAAGATGAAGCAATTGTGTTGAGATGCAATAGACACACATAAGTGTCAATCATCATCACCATCATCATGATGTTTCAAAACGTTTAGAACGTCGCTCTAACTACCATATTTTCGAAAGCAATTTTCCGCCAACGTTTCCACATAATGTCCTCTAAAAATATAAAACAACGTTTCTTTCATTTCACTTCTGCATTGGGTCATTTTCGCCTTCGTATCTCATTATCACAAACTATTCTAATAAATGGCATTAGGAAAAATATATATGTGAACGAATCGATTGTCATATCGAGGCAAACGTGAACTTTGTGCAGTTTGGCCAAAGACAGGCTCAGCGAGGAAAACACTAATGCCTTAGAACTGTCCGGAAGTTCAGAGGAAAGGAAGAGGCTATATAAACCGTGAGAGATTGAGATTGTGCAGTCTTGTTTTCGATCTGGTCTTGTGTCACTTAGAGTGCCTGCGTTGAATGTATCCTCAGAAGGGATGAATGCGTTAACACATAAGCCTGAACCACACACAAACACACACACACACACACACACACACACACACACACTGTCTAATCAATCCATGATAAGACACAATGGAGCTGAGAATGCCAGCTGTGCTATTCAGTTTTTGATGCGGATTTAGGATCTGTAAAATGCAAGCATGAGTTTTATTAACAGAGGAAATCCTAAAAATGAATAATCCCTGCTTCCCCGCCCCTCCCATACCCTATGTAAACATAAGGTTGGGTAAAAATTGAAAGTTATCCTAGTAAGACGTGAGAAGACCGTGAAATTAAGGGGATTAAATGAACAATGACACAGTCCTCTTCTCGAACAGCATAAATTAAATAGAACATGGGATTATGTCGGTCCGAAAACACTGCGTGAATCAATTCAGTTCTTGATTTAAAACAAATACAAAATTAATGTCGCAGACAAACCTCCACCCTCCCCCCCCCCCTTTTTTCCCCCCACAAAAGGTACTAGTCAATTAGGGAAGTAAAGGCGACGAGCGAGATGTTTATCACTCCACCCAAAGGGTGCCAGTTGGTCTGTACTAGCCTAGCTCTATATGCCTAATTACATCTGAAGGCGGGAAAAAGGCCTCTGTGCGTGTGTTTGTGTGTGCGAATGTGTGTGTGTGTGTGTATGTGTGTGTGTGTGTGTGCTGTAAATCAAAAACCCTTTCTGTGTTTCGTATGTTTATTATAAATGAAGTGTCAACTCCCAAACCATGACCAGTACACGGGTTAAATTATCATGAGCCATTATGCCCACGTTATTATGTTTTTCTTTATTTATTGCTGTCAGAACCCTGTTTTGTACAGTCATGTGGCGGTGTAGACCACAGAGACAGTGTACTGTGCAGAGGTAGAACCCAGAGTTAACACTGAGGTCAGCACGGTGGGTGGCATGGCTGTCTACGTATGTGCTGTTGACACTTAGAGGAAACTACCGCTAAGGGAAACTCAGTAATGACCGCGATTAAGTGTTGAAAGAGTGAAATCTCTTTCGGCTGGTGTTACGTTATGGCAGGATAGCTTCTTTGTGTTGTGTAGCGTGTAACAGGGGCAGGTGTTGTGTTCTTTCGTAATATGTAAGTATTGTTGGTATATTCTGACCAGTAGAATTGGGTTGTGATATGGTTTATGTTTCTAGCCTTGGCACACTGGCCCGGCACACGACAGAAGCTCTGCGATCCTGGTGAAGTCCAGTAACAAGGAAAAAGAGAGTATCCCGCAGATTTGCCTGATTGAACGCACTTGCGAGTACAGTGAATGAAAAGCTCACTCGTTCAGGGTTCCAGGTAACAGCGGCCATTCGGCGGAAGTCATCTGTACTTTTGGTATTCTCTAATTTACATTAAAGTCTGTCATGTGTGCTCTGTGTGCGTTCTGGTTTAGTGTATGCTAGGTTTAGATTGTCTGTCAGAGGCCAACTGAACCAGCTGCAAGGTCAAGGTCAATCAGAGATCTGTGACAATTGCAAAATTCAGTAAAAGTGAACTTCGTTGTTCTAACTGGAGTTTCTTGTGAAGAAAATTCTCATTCCTTCATTTTGAATTAGTTCAGCAAAGCGAATAGTATTAAAATGCCTAGGACATAATAATTTACTGAAAGGAGCAAACTAGTAGAACAAATATACCAATGGTCACAGCTCCTTGTGTATCTCTACCACCCTCTTCATTGCCGCCAGGCCACGCTTGCATTTGATTAACGTTTGCTCCACGTGATATTTGAACGACAGACCAATCAAATGTTAAACCCAAGTGTTTTATCCTATCCCTTTTTTCGATATTTATACTTTTGTGTGTATGCTAGGCTGGTCTTTACTTCCAATGCTGTTGTTTAAGGAGCACCATAAAACACTTGCTTTCCAAAGGATCACCCTTGACTAGCCTCGGTTGACAACTGGTCTAGGATGAAAGCTCCGTGGAAAAAAAGTGGACTGCTCGTCTGATCTAGCAGCTACTGCCGTCAACTATGTTTAAAGCTTATGGGAGTTACCTTTCCTTTGACGACAACAAGGCAGGCCGAGAGAGTGATCATTCTGCATGACCAGCACATGGTCTCCTTAATATTCTTATAGAGAGAAGAATCCCTAGCTATCTATAGCAGAATATAGCACTATCATCATGAAAGACAGAAAGGTACCATTGGCCTTTAGCAGTAGAGAGGTTTGATGGTATCAAGAGTCCTTGCGCACCTTCAAAACGCTACTGAGAGTGAAATCATGCATGTTTCCTGGGTCACTACAAGAATGTGAATCCTGGACTGCTTCGCAATCCTTAAAGCAGCGGTCTCCAACCTCAGGGGTGAGTAACTGAGCGGGTGATTCCAGGCGACAAGTGAGTCAATCAATTTTATAAATGAGTAAATTGAGTTCGCTTGTACTTGAAATAATTAGCACAGTCGGCTTTAACTCAAGTCCTGAAAACAAAATTTTGTTGCCAGTTTAATGTGGAGAGTGATAAACGCTGTACTTTGTTCAACATCAAAATAATTTGAATTCTGTACGTGTTTTTCTCCATTCTCTTGTTAACACTACTTAGTTTTTTCTTATTTTTTACTACTCCGTTAATTCACATTTGGCTATGTTTGTAGGAGGGGGGGGGGAGACTGGGGTGTGGTTTTGCCATTGATTAAAAATGGGGGGTTGAGGGTGTGGGGGTCTTGACAAATACTCCAAGGGCACGACACTGCGCTAAAGAATGTTAAAAGAAGATTATAACCGTACCATTGACTAAGAAGAGGAAAGATACTTACATTCTTTGGTATCTGAACGTGAAGGGTAGCTGGCTCGTAAACAGGATCGTTTTTCAGGAGCTTCAATTCAACGGCTATATTAAACGCCATAATAGTTTGGAGAGGACAAAAAAGAGGAAAATGGTTGTTGGATCAAACAGCCATGTGTCTACGAACACACAAATGGTCACAAGATATGACGCACAACCTGGGCATGGAAGTTCATGCAGCGGAACGAACGAACGAACTGGATAAGAAACACACACACACACACACTGAGAAAACAGGAGAACAGCATAACTAGAATGTCTTTGCATTGGAACACACAAGGGCATAGGAATTGAGGAAGGCAAAAAAAAAAAAAAAAAAACGTGGAGAAGAGAGAATGAGAATGAAGTTAAACAGATATGGAGGACATGGGGAGAGCTCCATGTAATGACGAAGAATAGAACGATTTGGCGTGAGTTGGTTGAGAGTCTCCATTGGAGGATAGAAAGACAGAAGAAGAGACAGCTTTGATCTTTTTAGGGAGCATCATGCAGAAACACTGCAAGTGGGCTGTTTTTTTAGAAACAGCTGGAGAGAGAGAGAGCAACGTTCTGTAAAGCTACGCAACAAGACAACGATGGTACATTTTTGTGTGGAAGGTAGGTCACCATCTGTAGCTTATGCGTTACGAACGAGCTTTGTAATGCCGGGGTGCCGGGTTTGATCCCTGCTGCAGGCAATTAGGCAGCAGACCGCCTTGCGTTGATTTTGACAGTAGTATCGAGAGTCGACCGTTGAGAGGCGATGGCAAACTACTGACACTAAGCTGGTCTAGATAAAAGTGCAACAGAATTTTAAAAAATGCAGGCTTGGGTCTACAATGTTCTGTAAAATATAAGCAACTTTCAATACTAACACAGAATGAGTTGCGTTTATTGTTTTGTTTCTGGCGCGGGTTTTGTTTTCACCTTTGTGTACAGAAAGAAGAAAATAGATAAGAGAAGCAGCACAAACAAGATTCCAAATCCGATAATGGCGTATTGGTAACTGTCTGAGTCTTTTCTTTCTTGGGTCTTTTCATCAGGAGGTTTCAATGGGCCCTGGCCATGATTTGTCGTCTCGTCGACGCTGTTGGTAGTAGCCGTTGCTGTTTCTGTTGGCATTCCTGTGATTCTTGTAGATGTGGAAAATGTTGCTGTAGGTGTCGACGATGTTGTTGTAGGTGTCGACGATGTTGTTGTAGGTGTCGAGGATGTTCGTGCTGTGACCACAGTTATATTGTCGGATAACAGCTTGATCAACTTCTGTAGTGGGAAACGCCCACGTCCGCAAATCTATTCAATAAATGTTATGATGATAATGATGATGATAACGATAAAAATAATTATATTAAGACTAAAGTAGATGTGTGTGTGTGTGGGGTGGGGGGTGGGGGTGGGGAGAGGAGGTGTAAAAGAAGTGTAACAAGAAGATTTATTTGTCAAACTAGAAGCAATAAAGCTTAGCTCATTTGGCTCAGTGTCGTTAGCCTTGAAGCCCTTCAGCCTCGGTGCCAGGTTAATCTGGGGTTGCAAAGAATGAAATGAAGAAAGAAAGACAAGACACATTATAAAGAAAGTGACTAGAAAAAAAAAAAAACAACAACAACTGAATTACGAATATTTATTTTCTGGAGCAGCAGTTCGCAACCAGTGGGTCGCGACCGTTTTTTTTTTTTGGGGGGGGGGGGCGGGGGGCAAACTACCCTTTCACAGGGGTTTCCTAAGCTCATCGGAAAGCACATATTCATTGAAGTTATGAAGCAGTATGTTTGTTGGTTGCCACAGCATGAGGAACTGTATTAAAGGGTCACGGAAGGTTTCAGTAAAGTTATTCTCACCACGCCCCGCCCATATACACACTAGCTCAGATCTGATTAGTAGTTCCTGGTAGGGCTGTACCGAATATTCGCTTCGTATTCGCTTCGGGGCCGAATAGTGGACCTAATAACTATTCGGTATTCGGCCGAATAGTTGCGGTCGGGCCGAATACGAATAGTGGTTACCTTACTCCCGTTTCTGCATACACTTTGACTGACTGAAATAACTCTCTCATTAACACAATAGTTGCTGTTGCCTTAGTCTGTCGTAGCTGGTGAAGCTGCGACCCGGTTGCGTGGTACAAACTGCATAAAATGCCAACTACAGTGTGTGTGTGTACGTGTGTGTGTGAGTGTGTGTGTGTGTGAGAGAGAGAGAGAGAGTTCATGTATTTTTAATTCTTCCAGGGTGTCTTCGCCCAAATCAAATTTGAAGATATTGCTAACGAGGATATGAAGGGGCGTTTAAATTACATCGAACGAACAGCCGAGCGAACGTTGGTTTTGAAAGAGGCAGGAGCCCAAAGACAACTAATCACAGACATCAGAAGGAGACAGTCGTCATTTTCCAGCCATGTTATGAGAAGATGGAAAATTGATAATTTGGTGACCACTGGAAAGATCTGTGGAAGGAGGGATAGAGGAAGACAACGATAGAAGATTCTTGAATGTCTTGTTGCATAGCATGGAGGTGTGTCAGCACACGAACTGATACATGCTGCAGGAGATAGCAGATTGTGGAGAGGCATACCTTCATGAAAGTCGACCAGCCAAACAAATTTGTGAATGAAAAGTGACCTACCTTGTTTAGGAATATTTACGTGAACCTAACATCAAGGCATGAAGAAGGTTGAGAGCCATTAACCTAGAGTCACGAACTAATTAACCACGTGCGTTGCCAAGCACTTGATACAAACACAACTTCTTATCAATCTTCCCTGAGTAATACTGCACATCGAAAACAACCGTCTTCTACCTGATATACGAGGAAAACACAAGATATGTGCCATGTTCATTCCATCCGTCTTCTTCTCTTTCTTGTGTGTAATCTATCTGCCTACTATTGTTTAATTGAGGGGGGGGGGGGAGGGGGGGGGGGTAAAGAACGGTTAGACCCAGTTGCAGCCGACTATGATCTAATTATTGGTTGCACTTGCTTCTGCGTCTTCTACTTCTTCTTTTTCTTCTTCTTCTTTTTCTTCTTCTTCTTCTTCTTCTACTTCTTCTTTTTCTTCTTCTTCTTTTTCTTCTTCTTCTTCTTCTTCTTCTTCTTCTTCTTCTTCTTCTTCTTCTTCTTCTTCTTCTTCTTCTTCTTCTTCTTCTTCTTCTTCTTCTTCTTCTTCTTCTTCTTCTTCTTCTTCTTCTTCTTCTTCTTCTTCTTCTTCTTCTTCTTCTTCTTCCTCTTTTTTTTCTTCTTCTTCTTTTTCTTCTTCTTATTCTTCATATTTTTCTTCTTCTTCTTCGTCTTCTTCTTTTTCTTCTTCTTCTTCTTCTTCTTTTTCCGGTTTATTTGTGTTCGCCATTAAAAAGAATGGATGACAGCTTGAGTAAGATATCTGCGCCTTTTGGTTCAAAACATTCGGTTTGTGCAAACCTGCGATTGGTCGTCTCTTATGGCATTCTTATTAAGGATTATCTGTCTTAGTCTTGTGCTCACTAAACAGAAGCTCCGAACTCCCAGAGAGAAGAGACGATATGAAATACGATCATTTCAAAGTTGCGACTACTGACATAGAAACCTACCGTTCCCGTGACATCATCTAGATCGATTGCAGAAAACATGACGCCGGCGATACCAAGATTGCCCAGCAAAGATATCTGAAAGATAAACCGTGACCCCGGCAATATTAGAATGCTGCGACCAAGTTATCTGAAAGACAAAATCTGACCACGACATAAAGATAATCATCATCAGGAGCCCTGCGGACTGACGTGGCAATCGTGTCTCTCCACAATCTGCAATATTCAGCAGCATGTATTAGTTGGCTCCCTTGCACACAATGATGTAAATGATCACTGCAGCAACTGGATGAGGTAACTTTAGAATTATAGATAACTGTCATGGAAGAGAAAAGCGTTTGTAACATTTTATTTGCATTCAATTTCCTACAAAATGCCAGTGTTGGTAACATTTTATTTTTATTGAATTTCATATTAAAAGCGACTGTTGGTAAGGATGTTTTATCTTTCCTTTCGTTCTTCATCCACATATTTTCTTTCAGTTTAGGTGATATTATGTTCTTTTTACATACTATTCTGTCATTCAGCTTTTTGCACTCATCACTTCTTTCATACATTTATCCTTAGAACAATATTTCAACTTAAATACATAAAATTTTTAACTTCAGTAATCGAAAGTTTATTAGTAACCAAAATGACTTTTTGACTACCAATACGATAATTTAACAACCACAACACAGACACAACACAGACACAACACAGACGCAACACAGACACAACAACCGCGGACATGACACCCACTCACCTTTGCCTTTATACTTTCTGTATCCTCGTACCCCACCCAGGTGTTGCCAGCGACCAGGTAGTGCATCTGGCTGGCGTTGTCATAGTGCTTGGTTCCATTCTTGAACATTTTACAGATCTGTGGGCGACAGATGAGAGGCATCATTAGGTGACAGGGATGATTACCGCTGTGTAACAGTTAAGAGGCGTCGTCGAGCTCGTCGTGCTCGCACACATACGCACACACACACATATACGCCCACATGCAAACATATAGACCAACTAACATACACAAATTGAGACAGACATTTAGACACACACATACACAGGCATGCCCACATGCAAACATATAAACACACGTAATACTAAAATCGACACAAACATATAGACACAGACACGAATACACGCAGAGAACTTTTTGTAAGTGTCACACATTGGTACGCGGGCCTGCCCTACATTCGACACCCAAAACGCGTCTTTCACAATTCAATAGTCTTTTATCTGTAAACCATATTATGTTCATATAAATGTGTGCATATATGAGTACCAAGATACATACTCAAAAGTATGAGTGGTATTCACATACATAATACACACGCGCGCACACACATTCATACAAATATAGTATACACATAAATACACACACACACATGCATGTATGATACACATATTCTCACAGACATATAATCACTCATGAATTACCATAATATGCATTTATATATATATATATATATATATATATATATATATATATATATATATATATATATATATATATACATATATATATAAATATATATATATATATATATATATATATATATATATATATATATATATATATATATATATATATATATATAGTAGGCGGTACCACCTGCTTTCTGTTAATGCCATATATCGGGCGGCGTATACAAAACCTGGCATCCCATATTGAGCCAACGCCGTCTGACAGAGGAGCGCATTGGGGAGGACGCTAGCTTTATCCTATTATTAAGAAATGCAGCCTGAAATGTCTATGTTATGACAGGGCGGACCAGACCCTTAGCCTTTGACTGGCAGGTGGTCTAGGAGGGAATCTCCGACAGATAGATAGGAGCACCGCCCCTCTAATTCAGCAACTTCTGCAACCTGCTTTGTTCCAAAAGTAATGGTGTTATCTTTCCTTTGGAGTAAAGAAGGCAGGTCCAGATCATAATGAGTGGGCAAAATATGGTCTCTACAATACTTTCCAGGCTTTGGGGTAAGTAGAGGATGGGCGGCCGGTCTCTCTAGTCATACTTACCAACACCATGGGCTGTGAGTTGCATGCTTTCTGTCGTCTAGAAAGACGGAAAACTGGAAACCAAAGCAGCTCTATCAGCTCACTGTGTAATGGGCGTCAAAAATATATTTTACTTTTAGTTTACTTTCACAGCAGAAAGAGTATTCAGATTGTCTTTATCCTTTTTTTTTTTTTTTTTTGTTCTTTTTCTTCTTTTTGTCTGCGTGTTCGCCTATTCTAAAATCAGGCGGAATGTTCTTTTTGTTTCTTCGTTGCTTGTCTTTAGTTTGGTTTCACAACCTGAACCAGATCATCTCTTTTACAGATCGCCTATCTGAATGCAGTTTGTTTGTTGTTCATCCGGCGGGCAAAAGCGCAATGTCTCCAAAGGAAAACAGCACTAATTCGTCGGCCTTCAAACGTGTTTGTTGTAGGGTACTGTTTCTCTCTCCTCCACTGGGTAAAACAAATAGAGGGTGGGGGGGGGGGGGGCGACGGGGCCTACACAGGGGAGGCAATTAAAATGAAATGCAAGTTTCCTTTCATGAAGCACTCACCTCGGGATAGGCCAGGCCGTTAGGTATGTCGAAATAATTCCCAGTTAGAATCTCGCTACGGATGGGAGAGCCAGGTGTGAAGGCTTTCTGGTTTTGAAGCCTCAAGAATCGACCCACGGGAGAGATCCCCACCACCGTCTTGCTGGCTGGCAAACCTGCTCCCTGCCATGCTCTAACTGACGAGTCCTGAGTATGAGTAGTTCAACATCCAAAACAATCTTATCAATACATGTGAATAACACAATTTTAAAGGGTGATCTAA